ATAATATATATATATATACATATATATATATACATATTATTATTATTATATTATTGGGAGGGCTTAAGAGGGCACCAGGGCTTGAGAGGGTGGGCTCCGAAGGGCTTGAGTGGGAGGGCAGACGAATGAATCTACTTTTCATTCCTAATCGTAGATTTCACACAGAATCAGATGGATTCCGGTCAATATATTTTCGCGATCTGTTAATATACATCGAGGATGTATATACGCGGAGGATATCAAGGATGAACGGATTGATCCATTTACACGTAGGAAATCGAGGATCTACGAATCGATCCATTTACGCGGAGGAAATCGAGGATCTACGAATCGATCCATTTACGCGGAGGAAATCGAGGATCTACGAATTGATCCATATACGCGTAGGAAGCCGAGGATCTAAGATTTGATCCATTTAAACGAAGGATTTGCAAATGGGGACAATCTATACACGCGAATGATCCATAAACACGATGGATCTTTGTTGACGGTCTATGATCCATTTAGTCGAAGGATCTATACTGAAGAATGATCGATATTCGTGGACGTTCGCTCGGTCCTACATACATATATCCTCCTTAGCGGCACGCGCCTGGATAAGGGGTCACACCCGATGATTCTACTGCGTAACTGTGATTCTACAGTAAATTCTCGATGACTGAACACTAAATGTTTCATAAACTAATTGCCATATGCGGTTGAAACAAGTACCATTGGGTTTTAAAGCTCTTTCAGGGTGCTAAATCTCATGAAGTGAGAGTGTCAAGGAACCTTCTAATACTCATGGAGGATTTACTGTACTTACATTCATAACAATAAAATACGCGACAATATTTTTCTCCTAATATCCCGGTATTATGAGATTTGGGCGGGCGAGAGGGAGGGCAGGATTGATTCTACTTGTCAGTCTATTGTTGTTATATATTGACTCTAATAGGGTTTAAGACCTTCTCGAAGAGGTCTATTGTGACTGACGAAATTATTGATATATACACAAACGTTCATAAGTATCAGGCACACCTGGTCTGTATGAAGAAAATCTAATGGTTCGTAAAAATGATTCTTGATCTACACGATTATTGTCTGAATCATTTTTCCCTATAAGATTATTTTCCCGGCGCGGACCGACTTCGGAACAATAATCGAGATGAGTCTGTCTATTGCAAACAACGAGTTTATCATTTTATAACAGTTTATGCGTTATCCATCGAGATTTGACATTCCCTAAATAATATTTATTTCACACTTTTACGGATTTTTAGGACATTCAGTAATTTCGTAATGCCTTATAATATTCACCGTATATTGGATAAATGTCCTGACATTTATGAGCGCGAATGGACGCCTTAATTTAAGTCCCCACCGTGCCTAATGGACCTGTTCACATATAGTGAACAGGATTTTTATCGGCCGTTGCTCTAAATGAACGTGACCCTTGTATTTACCTGAAAAGCTTCAATTTAATGATCCCGGTAGACAGACCGCTGATACATTGTTATTTAGCCACTTTTATATTGATATTTCTACTTTCATCATATTCCTTGTGTCTTTAACCCTTTGATGTCAGAATTAAAGTGGGCGTGGTTAAAAATATTTGGAATATATTAGGTTATTGGTTAAGCTTTGAATATGAACTGATATCAATTTCAAACTTCTATCACTTCTGGTTTTACCGTTATGAGATGTTGCTTATAAGCAACATTGCGCCATGGTGGTACTTTTTAAAACACAAACGAATATTGTGGTTTTATGTTATTTTTATTAATTTTTGAAACATTTCATGTGTGATATGAAACAAAACAATTTTTTTGTGGGTTACAACATAAGTGTACCTTGCATTTTGAACATTTTGATTTTGGAATACCGGTATGGCATAATCTACACCTTCCTTTTGCTCCCCATTCAACCCAATGACTAGTTTGATCGAGACGCATGGATTTTGGGGGTTCTGCTATGTATGATCGTTTTGCTGATGACGATGAACTTTGTAATGAAACGTCTGAAATGTTAGATGGTGCTGGAGACACTGGTGACGGTGCATTTGAGTGCATGCTTGAAAGGATTCCCAATGGACGGCCTCTTTTGCGTTGGTGTACTGGCGTAATATCAGAATCGTGTAGAAGCTCGTTTGCTATCATCAATTGAAAATTCAACAACGACATATGTTTCGTTCTTCCTTCGTGATTTTTTAGATCTCTTCTATACAACAACCAGCTATTGACTACTGCTGTGCTGAGGCACCAGTATACAATACGCATATACCATTTCTTAGAACGGTGGTTGATTTTATACAAGTCTAACAACATGTCAGCCAAGTCTACGCCTCCCATATGCTTGTTATAACACTCGACAATAGCAGGTCTAGGTATATTCAAATACTTCTTTTCTTTACGACACCAGCGTTTGCATTCTGAAACTGGTTTTTCAGCTATATAATTTGAGACTAGCTGAACGCTCTTGTTGTCGTACCAGCGGCAGACAACTAAATTATGTGCTACCTCAAATTTGAAATCATATGATCCACGACCTTTTTTCATGAGCTCCTTTTCATTCATAAGACAACAGTTTTTCATTCGATTGCTTCGAATTGTTCCTACTGCCAAAATGCCTTTTTCTTTTAGCGCAATCATCAGGCTTATAGAAGTGAACCAATTATCGAAATATAATTTATAATTCTTGTGTTGTCGAACATTAGAAGCTAAGTGCAACACAATATCTGATGAGATCCCCAACCCAAAAGATGGGCACGTTCCTTCTCCTGCATAGAGAGCAAAATCGTATACGATACCTGAAACTCCAGCTCTTGTGAACATTTTGAAACCCCACTTATTGGGCTTCATTGGTAGGTATTGTTTTAGATTGTGACGTCCTTTATATTTAATCATTTGTTCATCAATGCTCTGGTGTTCCTCCTGGTTTATTTTGTTGCATTTCTCTTTCATTTTATCAAGTAATGGACGTATTTTATAAAGTTTGTCGTAATTAGCTGATCCACGTTCCGGCTGTTGAGTATTATCATTTATGTGAAAAGCTTCTTTGATTTTCTCAAAGCGAACTCTTGATAAAGAATCTGCAACAGCTGATAATCTGAAGTTTGGCATCCAAGCCATTCGTAAATTTGGAACTTGTATTACGCCTAAATAAAGAAGTACGCCAAAGAATCGTCTGATCTCAAATGGAAAACAATTTAGCACTACGCCTTTCGTTTGCATCGAATATAGATTTGTTTCGTTGCAAATCTTGTTTATAATTTCATCATCGAAAAACTCACTGAAGTATTTTATTGGATCTCTGACTTCTCGATAGATTGTTTCTTCTTTCCAAGCAGTTTCGCAAACGGATAGGCTCGCGTTCCTCCATCTCAAACTCTCCAGATTGATTTTTTCAAAACTTTCCGTGACTATGTTTTCTGTATCCCCTTCATTTTCAACTATTTCATCAGCTTCTCCATGTACATCTTTTTCAACAATTCTGGTAATCAAATTTAGTTCAACGTTTTCTCCTCTTGTCCTTACCTGTTTCAATAGATTCGGCAATTCAATAGATTCAATAGAACTACATTGTAATAACACTTACCTGATCAATTGTGTCTTCAATGACTCTCTCCAAATTGGAATCATATAACTCTTCTTCTTCTTCACCTTCTTCATCATCAGAATTATTCCAGTCGAAATTGATTATTTGTGTTATTTCTGATTCTGTGAGACCTTTTGGACGCATTTCTGAGAAAAAAGCCAAACAAAAATTATTGCTACTATGGACAAATGTTGCTTATAAGCAACATTGTGTTCAAGAAATTCCTGATATAACAATAACAATTTTTTTTATGTTTTGCAAACTTTATTTCATTTTCTTACCTGTTATTTATAACAAAACACACTTTTTATAAAAAAATTCTAGCGAGTTTACTTTTTATTTGAATTTTTGTAGACCACCTTTTTTCACTTTTTTTTGCACACGTCTTAACACCACTTCAACTAGCTTACAAATGAAGACTTGTAAAGCTATTAAAAAATGCAACATCGTAAACGAATGCTCACATATATACATAACAGTTGGAAAAAACCGTTAGCAAAAATAACAAAAACTTTAGGAGCTATAACGGAAAATATACAATGTTGCCTATAAGCAACATTTGACATCAAAGGGTTAATTGAACAATAGATATCCTCAATTTAATTTCGATTCTAACTTTCTTTCACTATTAAACTTTGGACTTTAACTTCTTCAGCATTGTAAGTTGCTGAAAGATAGTATTAATTGTGGAATGATTTTAATATTATTCAACATGGACTACATGTATTCTAGTATTATCATAATTGAACAAATTCCCCAACTGTTAACGTCAGTGACAATGAAATCCGTCTAACACTTTATATATTTAATGATCTGTAGTATTTCTTATCGTCCATTTACTCTATTAGCACCAGTTGCTCTATTCTGAATGGCAAACAAGGGAGTACGGAGCATTCGAAAATATTGGTTCTGGAGTCATTCTAGTATTATTCACCATAAAATAATATAATTATGCCCCGTAGCATTTTCTATGATCATTGTGTATCAGAGGTGTCCAACTACTGCTCAGGAGCCATAAGCAATTTCGAGCCTCCCCTCCTGGGTCACCACCACCATCGACCTCAAGTTGACCCATTTGAGTCAACATAAGTCCCACAGTAAGGGTACCTCCAGAGGGGAAGATTTGCTCGTGAGCAGTACCAGGTACACCTCCGCCTAGTAGAGTACGGTTACTCGTTCTTCTGAGTACGTCTACCATACCAATACATTTATGGAACACTATACATTCTGGTCGAAACACGGTATTATCTTCCCTGCATTTAACGCTCACACTCCATTAAACAGGTCGCGAGTACACGTCCAGTACGTCTCGATACTCTACAATACTCGAACTTGCAAATACGAATTCATACCTTTGTATCTTACGACACTGGTTCGCGGTTTGAGACGTGCTGTCGTGTATCGTGGTATTGCGTTAACTGCATTAACATGCTTATCAAGAAGACAGCACCAGGTTTTCCCCTCTACTGAACATACTGGCGTGATTTACGTTGTTTTTAGACTATATTTGAATCTACAGTTGACAATTAATTTACATATTAATGTCTTGATTACACTTGTTTTGTTGATTTGTTTAATGTTACGATTGGAAAGATTCACAATCGGAATTTAAGTTTGACACCTCTGATCTATGTATTCTAGTAGCATCAATTTTGGTATACTCTGATTGGCGAACAAGAGTGTTGAATATTTAGATATTCTGAATCTGGAATCACTGTATTAATTTTTGCAGAAACTATAGAATATTCATTATCCATTACAACCTATATAATATTTATTATTCTGTGCAAACTAGATTTGTCATAATATTATCCTGGTTTAACAAATTCCCTAACTGTATATGTGTATCATTAACAAGAAAATTAATCTAATTTTTCAACTATGAAGCTCTTCACCATTTTTTGTCACACTTTCTATATTCTGAATGGCAAAAACTGGAGGACTGACGATGATCAGTATGATACAAGGAATATGACAAAAGGGTCCCTCCTTTTAGTCGCCTCTTACGACAAGCAGGGAGTACTGTAGGGGCATTCTGTACCCGGCCCTACACGGGTTTTCAAGCGCTGTTAAAATAGTGATAGTGATATAACGCTGCATATAATATCGTAGTTCTGTTCAGAGATTGGGGATCAGATATGAAATCCTTGACTCGTGGCAGTATATCCAACCTATTGATGGAACTAGGACTATCGACATGTTCCACAGATAGATAGATCAATCTCAGTTATAATTAAAGGCTATCAGTGCAAGCCTTAACACGTTGACTGCCGCGTCACCCGTATTCGGGTGACAGTCAAGTTTCGGATCGGGCCGCGTCACCCGTATTGGGGTGACGCTTATTTGACTACTTGCGCAGATCATTCGTATGTGTTTGGAAAGATATTTCGCAGAATAAGTAACAAATCTATTGAATATTATTTAATATAAACTATATTTATTCATATGAATTTAATTAAAATGGTTTATTAAGAAAATTATGGAGAATGCCAAGCTTTGAAACATTCTATACAAAGCTGGGGTTGGTTGGGACAACTTGGACAATAAGTTGTTGTTTTATTTACATTATCTCGTGTTCTTGATCTGCCCATTTGACAACTTTTATTTGCATAACACTGTTTGCATGCGCGTCTAATGCTTCCTCCGGAATCATTTTTTCGAACGGCGATATGGTGCTGTCTTCGACGAGAACATGGACTTGTTGTGCTATCAGACAACCCAAATAATTTTGAAGCTAATATTTCCCTAAATCTTCTAATATTTACATCTTTCTTCGTTGCAATTTTGTAAACCGTCAAGGCGTTTACAACAGAAATTCCCAGAAGCAATTGAATGCCAAGCTTTCGGTACCACTTGATTCCTTTTCTAATTGTAGTGGCATAGGAAACCATTTGGTCGGAATAATCTATGCCACACTTTCCTGTATTATATTCGACAACAGCTAGTGGTTTGAGTGTTGCAGGTATCTGTTCACTTGGAGAAATAGTCCGAATGCTACGATTTTTTTTTGCAATTGGGACCATGATAGGAGCGTGTTTTGTGGATAAAATTCTTACGTCCCGTGTATCTCTCCATTTGAGTACCACAATCCCGTTATCATCTTCTTTGGATACCATCTCTCCTTTTCTCAGTTTGCAATGAAGAATATCTTTTGGAAGGAATTTTTTGTTATTCCTAAGTGTTCCCACGACATGGGTTTTGCGGTTTAGGCATGATATTGCTAACTCATAACTGGTGTAAAAATTATCAATATACAATGTGCGTCCTTGGTGGAAAAGTTTTTCTGCAAGCTCAAGACATACATTATGTGCCAATCCCGTTTCTCTAATACCATCAGCCGATTTACCAGAGTAAATTTTCATCGCCCATGTATACCCCGTGTCTGAGCATAATTTAAATAATTTGATTCCGTACTTGTGCGCTTTGTTTGGTATATATTGTCTGAAAATGAGTCTTCCGCGCCATGGAATTAACGTTTCATCAATAACAATATGTTCTCCAGGCGTTAATATTTCCTGATACTTTTCCTCCAGTTTGTCGAAAAGTGGACGTATTTTTCCAAGTCGATCGTTACGGGCAATGGACTCATTATTGGCAAAATGAAAGTTACTCAATAGTAACTCAAATCTATTTCGTGACATTATAGTACGCGGTAATTGAAAATTATATAATGGGCTTTTCGACCAATAATTGGCAATGGGGTTTACTTTTACAACTCCCATATATAAAATCAGTCCCAAGAATTTTTTTATTTCTTCGGGATTAGTGGGTTTCCACTTATGCATCCGTGAACACGGTGGTAGGTCAGATTTATTTAGCTTTTGTTCCGCGTATCTATTTGTTTCTGATACCATTAAGTCTATTATTTCGTCATCGACGAACAGCGCAAACACATCATATGGATGAACATCACCTGGTAATTGTCTAATGAGGCCGCCCGTCTCGGAAAAAGAAAATGACTTCTGCCGACCACTAAATTCATTCCATTCGCCAAATTGAATTGTATTTTCCTCGGTATCATCAGTCCTCCTGTCTTCATCAATGATCAATTCTTGTAAAATCTCATCAATGGAATCTTCATTACACTCAGTATCACTACCATTGCACTTATCAATATCCGAATCGGAATCAGATGATGCAATTCTATTTACATTTCTATTTCTAGGAAATCTGATTTCTTCCTCATCGCTGCTATTTGAATTCGTGTAAGCCTCGTAAAAGCTTTCTTGTTCACTGCAATTTGACTCTCGAACAAATAAGTTTTCCCTTTTCCTTTTCGACATTTCAACGAATTATTAGGGTAGAGATTTTCAGTTATACCGCTCGTTACTCGGCAAAGAGTCAAACTGATCCTATACAATACCGAAATAAGAAACAAGTGCGAAGTAGCGAAAATAAATGACCGGGCATCATACCATGCAAACAAACGGGGTGGGGAGCTGTTCTCGGGACAATAAACGATTCGCATTTTTTAAATATCGGAATACGCTCCGTATAGCGGTACGCGTGGCCTGACGGGGATTTCACTGTAAACGCGCGTGGCAGTCAACGTGTTAATCGTCAAAATCGAGCTTCAAGTGAGGTAAGAAAACCGCTCGAGGTTTATCGTCGATTAACATAAACGAGTCGTTAATGGCCCTTGAAACGAACTATATGATCGAAAGGAAACCGAAATCATGGATCAAATAGAGTCATAGATCTTCAACAACAAAAATAAAATTTGGAAATTTCATTATATTCAGATTTATTGGTGCTTGAAATAAACCATACGATTTAAAGGAAATCGAAATCGTGGACAAAATACAGTCATAGATTTTTAACAATAAAAATAAAATTTGGAAATTTGATTTATTATCAGATTTATTGGTCCATGAAACAAACCATACGATTTAAAGAAAACCGAGGTCGTGGACCAAATAAAGTTCATCATCAATAAAAATCAAATTTGGTATTATTTTCACATTTGATTGGCCCTGATAAGAAGTGCAGCTTGAATTTCGTCCACGTTTTAGGTTTGGTTTCGGAATGGTACCATTTGAAAAAAAACTAAAATCGGTTTTCTACACGAAGATTTTTTTACAAATTACATATTCTACCTGTAAATGGTCAATTTCACAAGCTGAACAAAATTCCAACGATTTTTCTGCTTGTGTGGGATTGGTCGTTGCATTTCAGTGATCACACTGAAAGTATACGAATATATTCTTCCGATGTGGACAGTGAAATCCAGGATCATCCAAGGGTCACAAGAACACCCAGTCATTGTAATCTTTCGAAAGGCTTGCAAGATTGATGAATACAGAAGAATATGATTTCTGTTTTAATTGGACACTAATTTCTTGTGTATCGACTTAGGCAAGTAATCCTACAGGACCGTTTTTCCCCTCGATAATTAACTTCGATACCCCAAAAATTCCAATTTTCCAGATGTCTGCAGATTTGTAGGGGAATAGAAGCATCGAGCAATTCGTTTTGTTGATATTCGGTTCTTCAGGGTGAAATAACCGCCTAAAAACCGATACGCCCTTGTTGCGTAATGTTCGGTTTGTAGTTGTTAATTTTAATAGTTTAGTGGACTGTATGTGAGTGGCATTTGCAAGGAACGAGCCAGGATTGAAACGGATGTCTGGTGACAGCTGTGTGGCAAATAAATGTACACATGTTGGCTTTGTGATTACTTTATTGCGTCAATATTGGGTAAAACAATGAGTGAGCCAGAATTCAAAGTATGCAATGAACCAATGAGTTTATTATCTATGACGTGAAGAATGAACGTGTAAACTATGGATGGTGAATCTGACAGTGAGTGACCAACATTAATTGATATTTATAGAAACAATGGATGAGCAGGCTTGAGAATTTGAATACAATAAAAATGAGTTGACGTACACTGAGTAAATCGTGTGAGTTAGGCCATGTGATTCTGTTTGATTAAGTCAAATGTAGAGTACTGTTCATTAGGAACTGAATGGCCACACTATGAGTGGTTCTATGGCAAGATAGTCTACGTGTAAATGAGACTTGAATGTTTACCGTGCGGATGAGTAACCACTGCGATGATATGCACAACGAGGTGGTCGTAAATCACCTCGTGGTCGCAGGTGGTTCGACAATGGCCGATCAGCTGATGATAATTCGGCGTGAGCTGGTCTGGTGGTGAGTTGAGCTACGGAGTTGTAGAGAGTTGTTCTTGTTGAGTAGGTGTTCCGTCACGGTATTCACGATTTACACGAATAGTGAAGATTTGTGCACAAAGAGTCACACTAACAGAAAACCTGTTGAGTCGTACACGATGCGGTTGATATCTCGATCCGAACAAGAGTGAGCGCGAGTGAGACGTCGTTTCCGCCAGCTTGTAAGGAAGACGGGTGTGACGTATCAGTGTTGATGATTGCAATTGGTGCGTTCGCTAAGCGACACGCACGCCACGGGCCGCGATTGGCTCGTGGTGAGCGACGCGCACGCCACACGCAGCTATCGGCGCGTGGTGTGTGTGAATCTGCGGTGATGATGCCAGCCATTACCGATGCATCGTTCATGGCTGATCGGCTGTTGCATGGTCGGTTCTTTGATGATCATTGGGAGGTGCTGCCCCCGTCAATTGATTTGTCTCAATATTGAACAGCCCTTTTTTTATTTCTCTGTATATCTTGGGAACTATAGTAGATGTCAAAAAACTGTTGCAATGAAAATTTAACGACTCTTTATGATCTACAAAAATCGGTAATGAAATTGTTAAAAATATGATTTCTAATAAACAAATAAATAAATAAACCAATTTTAAAGAATTGCATTACACATTTTTGGAGAGCATAAGAATCTACTAAACTTTCATTTCAAAAGTTTCTTAATATCTTCTATACATCTCAAGATATACAGGAAAATATGAAAACACATATTGCCTTTTAACACTTTCACAACCGCATGTTTGCGCAGTGAAACGTCGCCAGGGGCCGGCAATATTTTTGAAAAAACACTTTGCCGTCCGCACTATTTGTAAACATTTCTTCGCTTGAAAAAAACTTTACGTAAATTCATGAAATAATTCAACATTATTATACAACAATATTTATTCCTTTGTGTGGTAATTATTAAAACGTACAAATATAAAACAAAATTCATAACAACATAATAAACTTAACTGCTTTTTATAAAATAACTCCATTTAACTAAATTCCGCATTCATTTAATATTTCTTTTTTTGATGATAGGTAGCAAAACAGTTCCCCAAGTATAACGCAACTTTGCAAGTTTTACACATCAATCTTGTGGTTTTTCTAGTACGATGTAAATAGCATACGTGACATCTTCTTCTTTTACGTTTATTAGTTGGAAAAATTGGGATCAATTGGTGGTATTTTAAATTTCCAGAAAGTCTGTGAAGTGGATCATGATGATGAGTCGATGTTGTAGGATTTTCAAAATTCCCTTCGGTGTCTGTGTCTTGTATCCAATATCTTGCTATATGCAGCAGGAAGTCACGAAATGCCAGAGTTTTACCACAACTTACGTTCATATGTCTATGTACTGTAAACGCATTGAACAAACTGCAGTTAAAAAGATACAATGCAACCTTTTTAGACCACTTTAGAGTCTTTTTGAATATGGGGTAATAGCTTAGATATTGATCCGCTCGATCCACTCCTTTCATATGCTGATTATAATCAATAATACATCGGGGTTTTTGAATCGGTCGGTCAGTTTTTCTACAAATCTTTCCAGTGTCCACAAATTCGGCATTGTGAATTGTAGATATCATTCGGACAACTCTGTTTTTCAAGATTTGCCAGAACTGCAAAAGTATTTCCCCTTGTCGTTTAAACAAAGATTCCGATCTTTTCAATTTTGTATTTTTTAAAGAATCTGGTAGTCCTCGGTCAAGCCTTATTGTTCCACACACTCGGATTTGTTTCAAAAGTAGTTCTTTTGCGAGGGCAACACTATTGTACAGATTATCCATATAGAGATGGTGCCATTTTCCAAAGGAACGTCTCAATAGTTCCATTATTGTGGTGTTTAAACTTTGCCCAACGCCACAATAAAGTGTAAAACTCGAAATATATCCACTAGCAGAATCGCATAGCATTCCGATAAGAATACCATATTTCGTAATTTTGGATAGATTATAAGTTTTAAACATAAGCCTTCCGCGACACGGTATCATACCTTCGTCAATACAAATGTTTTGTGAAAGATTGAAATTTTCTTCAAATTTTTTGGAGAAATAGTCGATTAGGTATTGTACTTTGAAGAGTCGGTTACCATCGGGAGGCATGTTAGCATTGTTTGCAAAATGAATGTATGTCAATATTTGCCTGAATCTATTGCGGCTCATTGTCTTGGAAAATATTGGAGTCTCTATCAGTGGGTTTGTGGACCAGTGATCCTCCATTCTTGGTTTTTTTACAAGCCCCATTATAATTGTTAGTGCAAACCACTTTTTCAGCTCTGCTACCGTTACATCGAACCATTTGGCACTGTTTTTTTGCTGTTTATGCTTGCCACAATTCTGTGCGTGGTATCTGTTTGTTTCCGTGGCAATAAATTCAAATAAGTCGTTTCCAATAAACATATCTGCGAATTCATCGACCATACTTGTATCTATTGGAAACACAGTAGGACCCGGAGTGCCTCTAAAAGCTTCATTATTATTTATAGTTTTATCAAATTCTGTCCAGTCTGAATGCATTTCTTCGTAGCTTTCTTCAGAATAACTCGGCAAAGGCATGACCCGTCGTCTTTTTCGCACTCCGGTACTGATATCTGAATCTACTGATTCTGTGTCACTGTCACTTGTCTCTTCTAAATCACAATCGTCAGGAACATCAGAAAGCACATCATCATAATTATCTTCTAAACTATTCTCTCCTTCGTAATCCATTATTATTAGGGAATATTTTCACAATGTTACTGAAATGATATAACGAACTACAATGTGACGCTCTGAAAACAAGCCTTCGATCGTTTACTACTATCTTACTGTATTTGTCTAGAAATTATTTTATCGTATCCGTGCAACACTCTCAGAAACAACATACCTTGTTGCCCATCAATAAGCAAAAATTGAAATGTATTTCGTGAAAAAGTATTCAGTCCCTCCGAAGCGTTTCGAGATAGAGTCTTTAGTAGTCAAAAGGTTTTACGTAATAAAATTTGACGTTCTAAAAAGTTTTACAATTGGCTTGCCAATGGTACTGGCCTATCAATGGCACCACGTGAGTGTCACCGGCCAATAACGACTGGCCTACCAATGACACCACATGAGTGTCACCGGCAAACAACGTCTGGCCTGCCGATGGCATCACGTTGGTGTCACCGGTTGTGAAAGTGTTAAGGGAATTTTGTAATGATCGAAATAGGTGGAAATCAGAGGGCGCGAGGTCTGGTGAATATGGTGGATGGGGTAGAACATCCCAACCGAGCTCCAACAACTTTTGTCGAGTTATCAAAGACACATGAGGTAGCGCATTGTCCTGATGAAACACGACGCCCTTCCGATTCGCTATTTCTGGACGTTTTTGTTCAATTGCTGTCTTTAATTCGTCTAATTGGGAACAATACTTTTCTGAATTTATCGTCTCGTTGTTTGGTAAAAGCTCATAATACTCATAATCCCTTTCCAATCCCACCAGACACAGAGCATCGCCTTCTTTGGATGAAGACCGGCTTTTGGGGTGGCTAAAGGTGGTTCAATCCGCTTTGCCCAAGATCTTTTTCGCTCAACATTATTATAAATGATCCATTTTTCATCTCCCGTCACTACTTGTTTCAAAAATGGTGTCTCCTCGTTGCGTTTATAGAGCAAGTCGTAAATGAAAATGCGATCCATCAGATTTTTCTCCGTTAAATCGTGGAGAACCCATACATCAAAACGGTTTATAAAGCCGAGCTTCACAAAATGCTCGTGGATAGTGTATTTTGACATATTTAACATTTCTGCTAATTTACGTGTCGTATAGCGTGGGTTATTCGCGATCAGTGTTTTAATCTGATCTTCATCTGTGGTGGAGGGCCTACCCGGACGCTCTTGATCTTTAAGGTTGAAATCACCAGCTTCAAACCTAGCGAACCACTTCCGCACAGTTCTTTCAGCTACAGCACCTTCGCCATAAACAGCGCATATCTTGTTTGCCGCTTGTGTGAAATTTTTGCCTTTCTGGTAAAAGAAAAGCATTAAATGCCTAAAATGCGCATTGTTTTCTTCCATATTCAAAGGCGTATAAAACTGACAAAAATTAACGTATCGTAACCAAATGTTTTCCAAATACGCCTGAAGTACCGTCTTTTACGATATGTATCCATGTCATTTGTTTTCAATCGTTCTGATATATTCAGACTTGTCCTTACGCCACCTACCAAAAATCGGCACGAACTTTCCGGACAACCCAATATATATTGAATTATAATAGGAACTTACATACATTAACTTTTGTAAAATGATATAATAATAATAGTATAAAATTTTAAATGTGTACAACTCAATAGCTCAGGATATAAACGATAGAACCAACATACAAAAATAATGAAATATACGAATATAATGAGAAGAAGAAATATTTAACAGAGATTATCGCCAAAAGAATACTACAGTGCCTGTCACAAATATACCAACCCCATAAAATTTGAATGATTTGATGGTTTGGTAGTAAATTATACTATAATGTTAATTTCCATTGTTAGATAGGGTCATAACAAGAAACATTAAAAAAACAGTTCCATGGATTTATTGAAAGTATTATATTAAATTAAAAATATAACAAAAAAGCTACTGAATTTTTGTTTCATAAATATACCAACTATAATAAAAACCTATTTTATTTTAATTGTTATCTACGGATAAAGATATTTAATAGTTTATTACATTTCCGCCTCTACGAATTAAGTCAAAAACTCGATTTTCCATACTGGAAATGAGATTTTTTATTATTTTTTTGTCTATATTGTTATACGCTTCAATAATTGCGTCCTTTAGTTCTTCAAGCTTATGATATTTCTGCTTTTTTGAATAAATCCGTCGAACTAATATACCCCACAAATGTTCGATGGGATTTACGTCCGGAGAGCGTGCAGGCCACTCCAAAAGAGGAACATTATTGTCCGAAAACCAGCGTAAGGTGTGGGCCGACTTATGCACAGGTGCATTATCTTGCATAAAAACTAAATCCTGAACACTGTTTTCAGCCCAAAAGGGTTTCAAATACTTTTCTAACATGTTAGTATAATAAATACTGTTCATTTTGCTTGAAATGAAAGCGATTGTACTTTTGCCGGCAGCCGCAAAGCTCGCCCAAACCATAACGGAACCGCCCCCAAAATTACGTTTAGAAAAATATATTGATTCTTTCCTCAGATCGTGCCAGTAGCAATTGTACCCGTCGGGACCGTCTAAGTTAAACTTTTTTTCATCGCTAAAAACTACCTACGAAACAAATTTTTATTAAGAAATGCATTACACACTTTGGGGAAAAAATTAATAATACTCAACTGTTTTCCAATCTCTGCTCATATTTTCTTTAGCAAATGCGAGTCTTCTTTCTTTATCGACGATCTTCAATTGCGGTGTCGATTTCATTTTCAATCTAACAATGTCTGGTGATCTTAAAATGCTTCGATAAATTGTACTTTTCGATACATTTAAATTGCATTCGTTTTTAATCTCGGTCAACGACTTCAAAGAATTGGATGTTATTCTGAGTATTTGACGCTCATCTCGAGGAGACAATAATTTTGGTCGACCTGTCCTCTTATTTTTCCCATGATTACGTCTACTCGTGACGTAATCAGCAACTGCACTCTTTGAACGGTTTATCATTTTTGCAATGCACCCGTATCCTTTGCCTTCAATGCGAAAAGCATCAATCATTCCTTTTTTTTTATCGGAAAGATGCTTTCCACGAGGCATTTTCTCTTTTGAACTTCAATTCTAACCTATAATGGCGCCAAACGAAAAAATAGGGAATTACAGTGCCGGCAACCTAAGAAAAATAATAGAGGTTGGTATATTAATGAAACGGTTGAAACCTAGAACTTTTTTTCTTTTGTTTTAACCAATTCGTTATATGTATTAAAGTATTACAATTGCCTTTTTTTAATTACTAAAACTGTATTATATATTAACCTAAAACAGCACATTGACGTAATCTTTTCCTAAACTGTCAAAACATTCGAACATCGGCGGGTTGGTATATTTGTGACAGGCACTGTATTACGCACAGTTGCTCGGTACATACACGGAACGGTTTGAATTTTTGATTTCAAAGAGAACCAAATACGCGTATAGAAATTGTAAAATACAAATAATTTCCAGTAAGGGAAACCCCACAGTTGTAACTCAACTACTGGAATTTACCCGTCTTTGGTATTTATCGTGAATTAATTTGGAAGAGTAAGGGAAACGACTCACCTAGATTTTAACAGTGTTGGACACGATTTTCAAACAAAATTTCCTTTTGCGAAATTCCTGGAATTTCCCCCTTTCTTTTTTGTATCTTATTTCTGGGTGTTATCAAAAGCGAACCTAATGAGAAAGAACACACACGCACTGCGATTAATTGAATTTAAGTACGGAATTTATATTGAATTGAGTAGAGTCACGAAATAGAACTGTTAGAACTAATAATAATTGTTAACACTAAGTAATGAACTAAAGAAAAACAAAGAGAATAAAATATTTAAACAATGAAATGAATTTTCGTAAGGTCATGAGTCCTTTTGTCTGGTTTTTCTAGTTCTTAGCCAGCGCGAACAAAACTCTATCTCAAGCGGCCCATAGACGGTCAATATTATTGTACAATATGGATTGCACAATATTTTGACGGTTGCCCCTAGACGTTCGATAATATTGTGCAATAATTTTGTTTGTGCAATAACTTGAATCGTTTGAAGGCGATATTCAAGGTTGTGCAATATTTTGTGCAACCACGAGCACAGACGGCACGTATATTGTGCAACCTCCTGGAAGCGCAGTGCAAATCAGTCTCCTGGAAGCGCTAGAGAGTTTCATGTTGTGAAGTCATGTTGAGTGATACCGAACTGTGTTGTGTTTTCATTGCTGTGGGCGTAGGCTTGAAAAAGAAAAAGAAGACAGGAAGGAAAGGAAGGAAATGGGCCAAACAGTGGTTTATCGATCGGGAGAAGTATACCCACGAAAAGTTACTCAATGAACTGAGAATCATTGAACCTAATGATTTTCGCAACTTTTTACGGATGGACGGAGAATTATTCGATGAACTCCTTGCTTTGGTCACTTCTCAAATCGAAAAAATGGACACTACCATGCGCGATGCTATTCCTGCAAGTCAACGTTTGTCCATAACCCTACAGTATCTCGCGACCGAAAATAGCTTTGAAGACCTCAAGTGTTTAACTGCTGTTTCACCTCAGTCAATAGGGCACATCGTTATGGAAACCTGCACTGCTCTGATCAACAGCCTCAAGGAATACACCAAGGTGAGCACTTTTTCAACTTCATCATTTTATTTGAAAGGCAAAATTTTTGTGTACATTGGCTAGAAAGCAGTAGACATACGTACAGGTAGGAAGACATGCATTTTGAAAGTAACTTCCTCATTGAAAACTAGCGAAATCGGTGCTAGCGTTTTGCCCAGGCTCACGGGAATATGCTGTGGAATCAAATTGATCGAATGAAGGGTTACTGAGTGGGATTGGAGGAAGGGACTGTACACTGTACGGGGTGGACACACGTGAAGGAGGATTGAGGTAGGAGTTGATTAACACCGAATTACGATTTAAGGTCCCCATTTGTCCCTCAAATAGTATATCATTGATGGCCTTCTTGGCAAACATCTGCTGTTGCGGATCCATTTTTCTGAGCTCTACTGCCCAAGCTGCAGCAATTTTGTCACTGTCATCTTGTGGTTG